ATCAGCATCCAGTTGGTTAAAAATAACTTCACTTATTAGTTTAAGTGAGATCACCACAGGGCTGGAAATTCACTGTCAGTGAAACCAAAATACCGAAAGGAAAATGAGAAAAGTCTACATTCACGATGAACTTTCTTTCTATAAAGAAACACAGGAGGAAGCTGCCTGAACATTCCGCAGGCTCTGTTTTCCTTCTGGGCTCTTTATGAGGCACATGTCTGCCATTTTTGGAATTAGCCCTCTTCATCCTTCCAGTCTTGCCAAAGAGAAGCAGCTCAGCACCATGCAGCATCACTGGGACAGAGGCAAGCTTTGGAGGGATCCAGCACGGGCGTCTGCTGAGCTGGACCTCACCTACACTCACGTGGGAGCCTCCCGGCACAGCCTGTTCTCCTCTGCTTCTGCCAAGGCGCTGCACCTTCCTCCGGCAAACAGATTTCCCTTGTTGACTGTGCTGTCGACAAAGGCTCTACTGAGGAATAGCAGCAGCTCTGCTGGGAAGGGCGGACCCTGTGGGAGCCGTTCAGATGCTCTTTCTAAACGAGAAAAGGCAGAGGGACAGGGATAGAACTCTCTCTGAGTGACTTTGGGCATCCATCCTGCTTTTCCGTTAAGCCTCAGGAAAACAGCCCTGTGGCCCTCATGCCATCTGAGCAGGCATTCCTGGCTCCTCTTCACGGCTCACCTGAAGCTTCCTCACCAATCAGCCCCAGCAGGACCAAGACTCCCGTCTCCCTGTCCAGACTCCCTTGTCCGGCGATCAAGGCTGCTGTCCAAGACTCCCTTGACCAAGGCTCCTGTCCAGCCTTGCTTTGGTGGCAAGGGGCAGCCAGGCTAGGCTGGGGTGAGCTGCTCCGGGCCGCCGGGCCCCCGAGCACTGCAACAGTGAGGAGTCACACACACTGCCCGCTCTGTTCAAACGGAATGTGCACACACACGCCAACAGGTGTCACGGGAGCCTCGGCACAGGCCTCATCTAAAGCGTGCTGTCCTGCTCCGCTCACACGTGGGCATGAGCTCAGGGAGCCCGGAAGCTGGCGACAACATAGACACTCTGCCTCTGGACACATCCGGACAGTTTGCTGCTGAGCCGTCTGGCTCGCCGGGCCGGGTCTCCGCACCCTCCAATTCCAACGCGCTCCCTCCAACCGGCTCGCCATGACTCAGTGTTATTTGTTTTTTAGGTTTATTTTAGTCTGATGCTGTTGCTGTTTTTGGAGGCGTATGTAGACCATTTGCTGTTGTTGTTGTTTGAGAGAGGGCTAGGGTCCCACTCTGTTGCTCGGGCTGGAGTGCAGTGGCGTGATCATAGCTCACGGCAGCCTCAACTCCTGGAGTCCAGAGATCCTCTCGCCTCAGCCTTCAGAGTAGCTGGGACTACAGGGTGCACCAGCATGCCCGGCTAATTGTTTTATTTTTTGAAGAGATGGGCTCTTGCTGTGTTGCCCAGGCTGGTCTGAAACTTCTGGGCTCAAGTTATCTTCCTGCCTTAGCCTCCCAACGTGCTGGATAACAGGCATGAGCCACCATGCCCGGCCTGAGCTTTTTGTTTTGTTTTGTTTTGTTTGTTTGTTTGTTTGTTTGTTTTCTGAGACGGTCTTGCTCTGTTGCCCAGGATGGAGTGCAGTGACGTGATCTCAGCTCACTGCAACCTCCACCCCCTGGGTTAAAGCGATTTTCATGCCTCAGCCTCCTGAGTGGCTGAGATTACAGGCACGCGCCACCACGTCTGGCTACAGCCTGAACTTTTAGACATTTAAAATTTTTATATAATTTCAAAGTGACATAAACACAAAAGCAAGGAACCCGCCCTTTATGCAGGGTCACCAATGTGTTTTCATTTTGCCCCGTTTACTTTATCATTCTCTTCCTTCTCTTCCTCCCTCCACACCACACACACACACAAACACACACACCAGTGTATACATACATATGTGAATATGGATATATATGTATCTATAATTCTTTTTTGAATCATTGGAGAGTAAGTTGTAGATACGCTGTCCCTTTGTCCCTAAAAATCTTTGTGTGCATTTCCTAAAAACAAGGGTATTCTATTACATAACTGCTGTAAAGTTATCCAAATCAGAAAATTTAAATGTTGACACAATACTATTATTTAACTCATAAACCATATTCAAATTTCATCAATTATAGATATTGTTTCCTAGTTCAGGGTACAATCTAGGATCACAAATTGCATTTCATTGTCGAGTCTTTTAATAGTATATCTTAATCTAGAACAGTTACTTAGCCTTTCTTATTCTTGATGTTTTTAAAAAAGAGTAGGATGTTCTTTGATTTGAGTTTGGTTAATGTTTCCTTGTGATTAGATTCAGTTACACATTTTTGGAAGGAATATGCATAAAAATGAATCACTGAATCGATGTGTTCTTTGAGTGCAATGTGTCATCAACATTGAGTTGTCCATGACTGAAATCTGGAGTCACCATCATGACGTTGACTTTGGTGCCCTACACGACATGAATGGATGTTCTCAGCCTCTGGCTTCATGCACTACAGTTGTGGGCAAAAGGGGCACAGACTTGCATACATATAACTTGCTTAATGGTCTATGAGATGGAAAGTCCAGGCTGGCCTGTTGGGTGAGGAGGAACACATGTCTCAGTTGCCCTTGTCACCCAAGCCAACAGCCAGCCAACTCCCCGGAGCCAGGCTACCTAGCCAACAGCAGGTGACCACAGACTTACGAATGAGTCCCACCAAGACCAGCAGAAAAGCAACCAAATGGGTGGTTTACAAAACTGTAAGCGAAATAAATAGTGGCTGTTTTAAACCACTACAATTTGGGGTGATATATCAGCTAGCAAAAGCTAACTGATATCTCTTGTTCATTGGAGAGACAAATAAGACTCAGAAGCCCTACCTATTTCTTTGACATGACTGAAGGGAAAAGGTTGTCCTGTTTTGCTTCTGACTCTGTTCTGTCTCCTTCTGTTTATGTGACTCTCTGCTTATGTTCAGAATTTAAAAGACTATTTAAATTTACTAATGTGGGCCAGGTACAGTGGCTCATGCCTGTAACCCGAGCATGTTGGGAGGCCGAGGGGGGTGGATCGCCTGAGGTTAGGAGTTCAAGACCAGCCTGGCCAACATGGTGAAACCCTGTCTCTACTAAAAATACAATAAATTAGCTGGGCATGGTGGAACACGCCTGTAGTCCCAGCTACTTGGGAGGCTGAGGCACGAGAATCACTTGAACTCAGGAGGCGGAGGTTGCAGTGACCTGAGATCATGCCATGCACTGCAGCCTGGGTAACAAGAGTGAGACTCTGCCTCAAAAAAAAAAAAAAAATTTACTTGTGTGTGTGGGGTGGTGGGGGGGGAAGGGAGGTTTAAAGAAAAAACAACATAGATACTGCTCTCCCTGAATTTCTTGAAAACAAGGTCACATCTCTCAGTTGCTTGATTGAACCAATGATGGCAGGAGACTCTCCCAACACCCCTCCATAGAAACCAGCAGATGCAGAGCCCTTCCTAGAGAGGGACCCTGGAATAGAAGAGCCTTAGGGTTCACCATGACTCTTACTTTTACCAACTCCTCTGATTCCTTTCTTAGAGATGAGGATTTGGTGCTTCTGGGCTGCAGCCAGAGGATTTGGATTTTCAACAAGTTCTTCTGGTGTTTCACGTCACCAGGGAGTTTGGGGAACACTGCATTACAGAAAGAGTTCTCAACCTGGGCTGCACATTAATATCACAGGGGGGTTTGAAAAAGCCAGAACATTTAAATCAGGATCTTTAGGGCTGGCACTGAGGCACCAGTATTTGTTAATACCACCCCCTGCCCAGCCCCATGAGTCCAGTGTGCAGCCAAGAGGCACCTGTGCTCGTTTCTTTGACTGATGAGTAAGGAGCTTGCTTCCCTCTCCCCCATTCACATGAATATTCCTTTTCAACCACACGTGTTTCTGATAACAGAGGTGCACTTATTTTGGTGCATACAAAATGCTACCCTGGAGGCTTCTTTATGGTTTTCTCCTCATCACTCAGCTGATTTCCCAATAGGAATTTGAATTTTCCTTACTGTGAGCAGTTTCCTAAATCCTATAAATTTCTTTTTTTGGAAAACAAAGAAAATATATATGTAATTGAAGTTTTGCTCTTGTGGCCCAGGCTGAAGTGCAATGGTGCGATCTCGGCTCACCACAACCTCTGCCTTCCGGGTTCAAACCATTCTCTTGCCTCAGCCTCCCAAGTAGCTGGGATGACAGGCATGCGCCACGATGCCCGGCTAATTTTGTATTTTTAGTAGAGACAGGGTTTCTCCATGTTGGTCAGGCTGGTCTCGAACTCCCAACCTCAGATGATCGGCCTGCCTCAGCCTCCCAAAGTGCTGGCATTACAGGTGTGAGCCACCGCGCCTGGGCTATTTTTTTTTTTTTTTTTTAGTGTACTGTCCAATATGAAGAGAGACCGAAGGGCAAGCTTTGAACATCAGCGGCTGTATGAGATGCTGCCAGGGCTCTGTCCATATTCTCTAGATACCTTTACCACTCCCATGCACAGGGACTCTGGGTAGGCACCTTTGCCTCTTTGTTGGAGGGTGGCACTCAGGCTTCAGGGACCTTTTGCCTATGCACACACAAAAAACAGAAGAGCCTGGGAATTTATATCTCCTGAAGCAATCCTTCACCCATGACTGATAGGTGTGGTATCAATACTCCAGCTCCCTCACCCCAATCAGAAAAACTGTGGTTACATACATATATTACCTCCAGGGGTTTCCTGAGTCACTGAGCCGACGTTACCCACCACCTCACCACCACTGTGAACTTTGCCTAATGTCGCACTGATGCGTGACCCCCTTCCCTGTCTTGTCCACTTCCCCATCGCCCTATTGGCTTTTCTTTGGAAGACTTCCTGATAAATCATGTCTAGTAAATCCTCATTTCACGGTTTTCTTCTAAAGAAACTGATCTAAAAGCAACCCCCAAGAGCACATTCTCCAGCACCTTTAAAAAGGCTCTGGCACTCACCTTCATCCTTAATACAAAGGGCACTGTACGTGCCACCAGGAACTGGGTTGCTCTCAATCCTCACGTCAACAGCTCTCATGATTTGCTGTTCTCCACTTCCTTTGCTACACATGGTTGTTCTGAAATAGACAAAAAAAAAAAAAGACACTGTATGAGGAGAACTCTGGGTTGAAAATAATAAGGAATAATTCTCTTCTGCTGTAAGCTCTGACTGAAAGCATTAATCTGGACACATTCTCCGCAAAATAAATAAATAAATAAAAAGGTCTAAATTCAGAAATACAGCTGATGCTTCAGCTGAAGTCATAGGTATCAATTCGAGTTTCAAAGGCAATATATTGTTGATCTCTTCTAGTATATGTTTGTTTTTATTTCATAAAATTCTGCTATTTTCATTTTCTCTTATTTTGCGCTTCAAATTTCTTTAGATCTTTAGTTAATGAACCTTCAGATTTTTTTCTTTTCTAACGTAAATATTTAATGTTTTAGATTTCCGCCTAGGTATACTTTTGCTGCACCCCATGAGTTTGGGTATGTATATTTTTAATATCACTGAGTTCTAAATATATGCTGATTTCCATTATAATTTTTTCTCTCATAATTTATTTCAGGATATCTTTTCTAAACAGCAAATACTTGAATTTTTAAAAATTCATTTCATAATATCTGTTTACTAATTGGAGCCTTTTGTCTACTTAGACTTAATCACTTAATCTAATTTAAATCTGATTTTTCTTAATTCTGTCCATTTTCTCTTCTTTCTTTGTCCCACTTTGGATTATCTGAATTATTCTTCTTTTTCGGGGAGGGAGGTATTCCCTTTTTTCTCTGTATTGATTTGGAAGTTAAACATCATTTCAGTATTTTTTTCAATGGTACCCAGAAGTTACAACTTCTTTGACTTATTAAAATGTAATATTATTTTTATCATCTACTCTAATAATACAACTTGAAATACTTAAAATACTACACATGAATACACTCAAAATACTTCCCACTGATATAAACCTTTTTTTTTTTTTTTTTTTGGAGGGGAGTTTCACTCTTGTTACCCAGGCTGGAGTGCAATGGCGCGATCTCGGCTCACCGCAACCTCCGCCTCCTGGGTTCAGGCAATTCTCCTGCCTCAGCCTCCTGAGTAGCTGGGATTACAGGCACGCACCACCATGCCCAGCTAATTTTTTGTAGTTTTAGTAGAGACGGGGTTCCACCATGTTGACCAGGATGGTCTCGATCTTTTGACCTCATGATCCACCCGCCTCGGCCTCCCAAAGTGCTGGGATTACAGGCTTGAGCCACCGCGCCCGGCCTATAAACCATTTTTTAGTATCCAGTGTTACTATTACTGCTTCAGACAATTACATAATTTCAATTGGTCTACATATTTACTCTTTCCATTTATTCTTTTATGACTCTCCAGTCTTCCTCATGCAATATTTTCCTCCTGCCTGAAGAGCACTCATTAGTGTTTAAGTGCAGATTGGATGTAATGAATTCTCCCACCTTTTGTCTGTCTGAAAATGTCTTTATTTCACCTTTATTATTGGGAGATATTTTTCACTGCGAATAAAATTCTAGGTGGGCAGTAATTTTCTTTTAGTACTTTCAAAATATCTGAAGTCTTTGGACTTTCATTGTCAGTTTATTGTTGCTCCTTTAAAGTTAATCTGTTTTTTATTTTTAAAAATATTCTTTTCTTCATATATGATTCTATGATGTGCCTAGCTGTGAATTTCTTTGTATTTGTCTTACTTGAGCTTTGCAGGGATCTTTGAATCTGTGTCTTGATGTTTTTCTTCAGTTGTGGATCATTCTCATATTACTTTTACTCTATTTTCTTTTTTCTTTCTCTTCTCCTTTTAGAATTCAAATTATGTTGCATCTTCTTTGTCTTTTACCCTTTGTTGTAGATTTTTTCATCCTTTTTCCATCTGTTATTTATTCTGGATATCTTCCTCTGAAATTTCTTCCAGTTCACTAATCCTCTCTTTGGCTTTTTTTAAAAATGTTTTTCTCTGTTTCTTTGTTTTCTTTCTTTCTTTCTTTTTCTTTTTGTTTCTTTCTTTCTCTCTCTCTTTCTTTTTCTTTCTTTTCCTTCCTTCCTTCCCTCCCTCCCTCTCTCCCTCCCTCCCTTCCTTTCTTCCTTTCTTCCTTCCTCTTTCTTTTTTCTCTTTTCTTTCTTTTGTTCTTTCTGTCTTTTCTATCTTTCTTTTTGAGACAAGGCCTCACTATGTTGTCTAGATTATATTTAAACTTTGAACTCCTTGGCTCAAGTGATCCTCCTGCTTCAGCCTCCCAAGTAGCTGGGGCTACAGGCATGCGTCACCATATCCAGCCTTCTTCGGCTCTTTTAAATCAGCTATTAGATCTGTCCATTAAGTTCTTAATTTTAGTTACTATATTTTTCATGTCTAGAGTTTCCATTTGGTTATTTTTTTAGTTTTCTACCCTCTGCCAAAATTCTCCTTCTCATCTTTTATATCTTTGAGCACATCAAGGACAGTTATTTTAAAGTCTGCGTCTACCAATCCTAATGTCTGGAGTTTCTATTATTTATTGTTTCTTCTGAATTTTATTCTATTTGCCTTGTCACCTCATACAACTAGTTATTTTATATTGTGTGACAAATCCCACACTGACTAAATTGTTTGTTTAAATAAATTAAGGTATAGGATACTATCTTCCTCAAAAGATAATTTTTATTTGATTCTCCTAGACATCTGGGGCCCTGGAAACTCTGGGTCATCTCAATCCAAATTCATGGCTACAGAGTATTTGAAGATGTGCTGCTGCTCATAGCAAGGCCTGTGTCTAGTTCACCTTACAGGGTAGTGTGTCCAACTTACCCTTAGGGCATAGTCTTGCAAGGTACCAACCCAAAGCAAAAGGGCTCACCAGGTCCCCTCCGACACAGAAAATGAATTCAAATCTCCATTTCCCTAGTCCCATGTGGCAAAGGTTCCCAGGAGACTAGTGGCCCCAAAGTCTGAATTCATCACTCTAGGCCTTTATCATTCTCTGGATTTATGTGTACACTCAACATAAAGTCACAGAGATATCAGGCAGGTGTGCTGGATGTCTACTATGCTATAAATTACAAGACGTGCCACACATTTAATCATTGCTTTTCAGTGTGTGGTGAGCGAGTGGAGAACTGTGCAGGAAAGACCCACAGTGAAATGTACATACTAATGGTCAGATGCTTGTTTCCAGAAAATTAAAATAAAAGGATATTGAATAAGAATGGTGAAAAGAGCATAATATATTTTTAAAAAGAAATAAAAAATTAAAGGATAGAAAAACTATTTTTAATAAATTATGTAGTAAATATAACAAGTAAGTATGTTTTCTTTATTTTCTTTCTTTCTTTATTTATTTTGAGACAGAGTCTCACCCTGTCACCCAGGCTGGAGTGCAATGGCACCATCTAGGCTCACTGCAACCTCTGTCTCTCGGGTTCAAGTGATTCTCCTGCCTCAGCTTCCCAAGTAGCTGGGACTACAGGTGCATACCACCATGCCCAACTAAGTTTTATATTTTTAATAGAGACCAGGTTTGGCCATATTAGCCAGGCTGGTCTTGAACTCCTGATCGCAAGTGATGCACCTGCCTTAGCCTCCCAAAGTGTTGGGATTCCAGGTGTGAGCCACTGCACCCAGCTGTATGTTTTCTTTGTAAAGTAGTATCATTTCAGCCTGCAGAGATCCACTAATATGTCTTAACACCTTATAGTAAACCCACAGAAGATGGACCTTTTAAATCGTCCAGTCCTGACATACAATGCCTGAGGGACCTAAGCCTAGTTGCAAGCTGTCTCTTCAGAATCTCTGAACATTCTGGTTATCTGATGAAATTTTATAGTAACAGAATTATGAAAAAGTATTCCTACTTGACTACATTATGGAAATGCATGCATATTTTGTCTATTCAAGAGCACGGATGTAAAACGTAAGGCAGAGAGGACCACAGTTCCAGATTCACCGAAAGGCTTTGGATGTAGCCTCAGTTGTCCCTTTATTCAGTTGCTGCTTCCAACTTGGCACATTTGGAGACATGAGTCAGCATGGCTGTCTGTGCTCTCCATGGCCACTGGCCAGCCAGACATCTTCAGGATCATCATCTACCAAAGTAGTTCTTGGTGCCTTGCTTGCTTTCACATTTTCTGTGGCACGAAGAAAAAAGTGAAGCGGCCCTGGCCTTCTCCCAGCATGAAGTGTTTGTTTATCTGTGTTTTTGTTGCCTGTGTTTCTGAGAACTTATTAAAATATTTTCCCAGACCAATATTCTGAAGCATTTCTCCAACGCTTTCTTCTAGTAGTTTTATAGTTTTGGGGCTTACATTTAGGTCTATAATCCATTTTGAGTTGATTTCTATATGAGGTGACAGGTGGGCATCTAGTATTATTCTTCTGCACAGAGATATCCAGTTCTCCCAGCACCGTTTATTGAAGATACTGTACTTTTCCCAAAGAATGTTCCAAGTTCTAGTGTTGTGTACCACTGTAGGATGGCTGTAGTTAATAACATATCATTTCAAACATCTAGAAGGAGGATGCTGAATGTTCCCAGCAAAAAAGAAATGATAAATATTTGAGATGATGAATATGCTAATTGCCCTGATCTGATCACTCTCCAGTATGTGTATCAAAACATCACTATGTACCCCATGAATATGTACAATTGTTATTTGTCAATTTAAAAAATAAAATTAGGCCAGACATGGTGGCTCACACCTGTAAACCCAGCACATTGAGAGGCGGGAGCCAGAGGATTCCTTGAGCCCAGGAGTTTGAGACCAGCCTGAGCAATATAGCAAGACTTCCGTTTCTACAAATATATAAAAATATAAACGAACAAATAAAAATTTAAAACAAAGCAGGTTTCAACACTATTGGAAAGATTTCTCCTAGCTGGCCATAACAATTACTTCTCTAAAGAATTCCACCGGTCAGGAACTCAGGTAGCCACAGTAGGAATGGCTTGTCTCTGCATATATGTCTAGGACGTGAGCTGGCAAGATTCATAGGCTGGCAGTAACTCAATGGCTGGGGGCTAGAATCTAGAATGCGGCATCTTCATTCACATTTTGGGCAGTTAATGCTGGCCTTTCACTAGGACATTGGTTAGGTCTGTTGGCAAGAGCCCCTAAAGGAAGTATCTCCACGTGGTCTGGACTTCCTATCTCACACAGTCAGACTCCTCACGGCATCTCAATGCTACAAAAGTGAGTGTCCCCAGAAATCTAGATGGAAGCAGCATGGATTTTTCCAACCTAACTTCAGAAGTCATGTAATCTCACTCTTGCTGTATGCTATCAGTAGAGGCAAACACACTTGCTGATGCCAGAGTGTGGAAAAATTTGTGGCCATATTTTGAAACCTCTATACCATGTTCCTATACATATATATGCAGTTGAGTATCCACAGGAAAACAGGGATAAAGAATGTATACCAAACAGTTTATAGTCATTATCTCTGAAGTGAAGAAGAAGAGAGAAAATTACTTTGTTATATATATATGTGTGTGTGTATGTGTGTGTGTGTCTGTGTCTGTGTGCGCACACGCGTGCGTTATTTGAAATTTTTACAAGCATGTATTATTTTTATTACTTAAAAAAAATTCAAGGCTGGGCAGGGTGGCTCACTCCTTTAATCCTAGCACTTTGGGAAGCCAAGGCAGGAGGATTGCTGGAGCTCAGGGTTCGAGACCAGCCTGGGAAACACGGCAAGCACTCTTTATGTCTATAAAAAATAAAAATAAAAACTTAGCCAGGTGTGGTGGTACATGCCTGTAATCTTAGCTACAGGAGGCTGAGGCAAGAGAAACATTAGAGCTCGGGAGGTTGAGTCTGCAGTGAGCTATGATTGTGCCACTGCACTCCAACCTGGCTTACAGGGTGAGACCCTATGTCTAAAACACATAAGAATATTCAACATAACAAAGGGGATAAAAGAACTATGACAGAACTCCAGAAAAATGCTTTTGTAAGCAAACTCAAAACATAAATACATGCCAGGCGTGGTAGCTCACACCTGTAATTCTAGCACTTTGAGAGGCTGAGGCAGGTGGATCACCTGACGTCAGGAGTTCAAGACCAGCCTGGCCAATATGGTGAAACTCTGTTAGCTGGGCATGGAGGCACACACCTGTAATCCCAGCTACCCAGGAGGCTAAGGCAAGAGAATTGCTTGAGCCCAGGAGGTGGAAGTTGCAGTGAGCTGAGATTGCGCCACTGCACCCCAGCCTGGGAGAAGAGCTGGGTTCCATGTAAAAAACAAAACAAAATGTGAACACGCTAGAAGCTACTGCCCACTGCACTCTGCCCGTACTGGTACCTCAACAGAACAACTACTGAGCACTATATAAGCCTTGGTGGTGCAGTTGGGGTGCGTTGGAAAAGGAGTGCTCGCCTGACTTACCCAAGGGTGCCATCTGCTAGCCAGCCAGTGGCACACACTGCAAAGGAGCAATCTTGGACCACTCTCCGCAGCTCGTCTGCAGACACCAAGTGAGCGCCCCTGCTCTTGCAGGAAAGCCGAGCAGCCTCCAGGACTAGGCCCTGAGAGCCATTCTGAGACTCCACCACAAAGAGCTTTCCTGTGTGGGGACAAGCACAAACACATGTGGACTCCAGGACCCATGGGAAGTTGGTCTCAGCAAACTCACCCACTGGCAGAGGCCAATCAGAACCACAGCCCTTGCCTGAAGGCCCAAGTGCAGCAACTGCCACATGGCACACCATCCCTGAGACCAGGCGATGATAACTACACTAGAGTTTTCATCCTTTTTTTTTTTTTTGCTCTTTTTTGTTTTTTTTAAAATTAACCATCTGCTCTGCGTGTTGATCTGGAAAACCCTTCAAATCTTTCTTTTAAAATGGTGTTTTACAAATATCATGTGTCAAGGCTTCTCTGAGTGTCCTAGGCTTCTCTGAGTTGGGTCACTCAATGTCCAAGGCACTGATTTAGGCCCCGGCTCTGCTCTCTTCTGCGTCCCTCAGCCCTAGAATGCACCCTGTACACCAGGTTGCTTTCCTTCTCTCTGTCCCTTGCCTTAGGACATTACCAGGCCCCTTTCACAATACATTCATTTGTGTCTGCTGTCCTTCTCTCCGACTGGACAAGAAAACAGGGATCGTGTCTGGTACACCTTGGCTTCCTGTAGCCATTAATACATGGACATGTAGCAGGCCTCAAAGAATGTGTGATCAATGGGGGGATGGGAACGTGAATTCAGGCAGAGGTGAAAGCCCAGACTGAAAGCAAATGAGGGTTTTAGGCAAGAAAACCATGGTACCGGAGGGAGCGCTGAGGTCCCCAGGAGCCTCCTGGAGGAATGAAGCAATGCCTTGGGTGGCCCTATCAAGCTAAGGTAAAAGCAGGGGAGAAAACATCTCCTTCGAATGAGACACCTTACTTCCATCTGTCACCAACTTTTTCATAATACGTCAGTTATTAGACTAAGACATGACTAAGACACATCATCTGCTTGCAAAATTATTATAATAGATATAAGAATTCCCCAGCTTTGAAAGCAAAAGTTATAATAAAAATACAAAAAATTTAAGTAAACATAGGTTACTGGTACTCCTGCATTTAACTATAAAAAGGTAATATCAACCAAACTGCAAGGAAAAACAAAAAGATCCACAATCCTTGAGGAAATATTTAACTACTGTCCCTCTCAGTAATTGTTAAAACAGAAAACAACATTAACACTCTTCATGTAAGAACCTATGTGCAGTACTGCATACCAAACTACAGAATACACATTCATTTTAGGCTCATATAGAACAGTCGTAAAACTGATCAAATACTGAGCTATAAAGCAAATCTAAAATACCTCAAAAGACAAAAATCATTCAAAGCATGCCTTTTCGACTACAACAAAGCTAAAATCACTTATTTATGTATGAAACACTCATATCGTGTTTACTATGGGCCAGATGCTGTTTAAATTGCTTTATAAATACTCATTATATTAATTCTTATGACAACTCTGATATAGGTGATATTATCATCCTCATTTTATAGTTAAAGTTTAGTATTAATACTAGTCCAAGATCACACAGCAGAGATACAAAACCAGGCAGTATGGCTCCCTGTTAGTGCTTTCAATCAATGGGTTATACTGCCTCTCAATAACAAAGGAATTAACTAGGAAAATCCCCTTGTGCATGGAAATTACAAAATATACTTCTAAATAAACTGTGTTCAAAGAAGAAATCACAACTGAAATAAAACATTTCAACGCAAGGACCAAAAACTTGTGGAGAAACTAAAGTAGTTTAAGAGAAATTTATAGCCTCAGAGCTCATATTATTCATACCAAAAAGAATAGTTGAGAACCAATCATCTAAGTTTCTAGCTCAAAAAGCTAACATAAAAGTCCCACAAAATCAAATCTTCTAAAGTAGAAGGAAGAAATAACACAGATAGAGCAGAAATCAATAAAATGTAAAGCAAACATACAATCGAGAAAATAAAGCGAGAAGTTGCTTTTTTCTAAATAATACTAAAATGGATAAACCCTTAGTAAGACTAATCAAGATAAAAAAGGAGAAAACACAAACTGCCAATATCAAGAATGAAAGGGAACATCACTACAGATCCCATGGACCCTGAAATGATAATTAGAGATTATTACATTGTATATGCCACTACATCAGACAATCTAGATGAAGTGGGAAAAAACCACTTAAAAAACAAAACTTAGCAATACCGACACAAATTTAATTTTAAAATCTGGATCATTCTTTATCTACTAAAGAAATTAAATTCATTATTTAAAATCTTCCTATAAGAAAACCTCCAGACACAGATGACCTCACACCAAAAACTAACAAACAAAAGCCCTCCCCTACAGAAACCCTTTCAGAGAGTTAAAGAGGGAACAATTTTCCCCTTGGTTTAGGAACCACCATGAGTTTGATATCAACACTTGACAAGTATATTATAAAAAATGAAAATTACAGGCCAATGTATTTTATGAACACAGATTCAATAATCCCAAACCTGTTTCCCTCACTCCAGGCTCAGTTCTAGGTCTTCTCACCATAAAATTTTCTCTACAATTCTGTCCACACACATGATTTCAAAGACCATCCTTTTACAGATCACATATTTTTAGAAATAGTTTCTCTGCAAATGTGTCTTCAAATATCTGTAATTCATCATAGTTAAGCTGAGCATTTCTTCTTCCTCCCATCACAAGCACACAAATAACTAAATGTAGGAACTGGTGGTAGTTAAGAATTTAGTGCTAAAAAGGATACTTTGGTAATACAGCTTAAAACTCTTCCTGGTTCTAGTATAAAGGTTGGAGCTCAGAAAATTGAGTTTCTTAAAAGGAAGTGTACCTATAATTGTCCGTTGCGGAAATGGGGAAAAGAAAAGGAAGGATAATGAAGAAAAGGAACCATTTCTGGCAAGCAGTAACAGAGTCATGTGCTCTGATGGTGTTCGTACTTTCTCTTTGATCAACGACATTTCTGCCTTTAATTTTCTATGACCCGTATCAAGCTAGATAGGCACAACATATTGATCCTTATCCACATGGCGTTCTACTTAAACAATTATGACAGGGTGAAACTCGAAGACCTTATGGATTGAAAAAAAAATTGTAAAAGGAATTAAAATTGGCACAAAAATATCTTGTTCAAAAGTTAATATTAGCTCCAATTTATTCTACTTGCATTCTTTAAAATCAGCTTAATTTGCAATGTCAATCAAAAAACACTACAGCGAAGAATTATCGGTAGACTGTTAATAGGTATGGGACCCTTTTGGGGGTGATGGAAATGTTCTGGAAATAGATGCATGCAAACCATGGTTTTCACAACATAATGAATACACTAAAACCCACTTAATTGTACATTTCAAAATGGCAAATTTTATGTGAATTATGTGTCAAGTAAAAAAAATTAACAGTGGTTACTAACAGCCTTCAAAGTTAAAAATGTTTTGTCTCTAACACCCTCTCTGAGGATATGGAGAAATAAGACATTCATTCTTAATTAGCAGTGAAGAGCTTTTCAAGCCTGCACTTAAAACAGAGAGCACTAAAAAGTCTAAGACCTAGAACGTTTTTCCTTGGCTTTCCCCTTTCTCTGACAACCATGCTTTTTTCTTTCTTTCTTTCTTTTCTGTGTCTTCTAGTTTCACCCAATATCGTTGGCTAAATAAGAATCACATTTTAAAGTATACAACGCATCCTAAATCGACGGAAGGCTTTTCTCTTCAGTCAATCTAATTCGTCCTAAGCTAGAACTCCGTCATGGGTGTGAGAACTGCTGGCTTTAAGCTTGCATCCTTCAGATGCGCCTGTACCGAGTCAGCGGGATTTTGTTCCAATATGAAAACACAGCTGAATTAGCTTTTCAAAACGGAATGGATACAGAGCTCCAATCCTGCTCATTTAAGGCAGGTATTAAAAGCTAAATTCAGACTAGAAAACAAGCAAAAACTGGTTCAATTCTCAGAGAACCTGCTGTAATCTGGCCCTTGCCCTTTTCTTTACATGTCTCAAGACGTCTCCACCTAGCACCCTCGACTTCAGGCACTTCGATTTATCATTTGTCCCGTTTTTCCTGTCACTCAGAGTCTTTGCACGTGCCATTCCCTCTACCCAGGCCACTCTTCTCTCTCCCTTTGCCTCTCTGATTCCCACGCATCTTTCAGACCTTCCAGGACCATGTCAAAATATCCGAGGGAGTTTTCTAACCATCGGCGGTGTCCTCTGGAGCACATTAATAGACGTGGAGAAACAAGGACGGTGGAAAGTCACCCGCTAGCAGAGGACGTTCTAGGGCACCTTAGAGGTGATTTCATTTGAACTTTCTTGGAGACCTTAGGAAAGCCAGCAGTGGGACTCCGGGACCTGCGCGCTCGGCGCTCAGGGAGGGTCCAGGCACCAGGCGGGCGTTTGGGCGCGCGGGCACTGGGAGACTTGGTGGGCCAGGAGAGGGATGCTGGGTCTCAGGACCGCTGCTCGCTCGTTCCTCTAGGGCTTGCGCTCGCCGCTTGCCGGCCGGTCCGAGGGAGCGGCCCAGGCGAGCTGCGCCTTCCCTGCCCGGAACCGACGCTCCACCCCCCGCCCCGCCGCCTCCCGCACACTCACCATCCGCCCGCACCGAAAGGCGCGGCAGACCGAGCAGGAGCAGTGCCGCCGCCCAGAGCCCGAGCAGGCGGCTGTGCCACCGGGCCGGCGGGCGGGGTCCCTCGGCGGTCATGGTCCGGGAGTGCGCGGGCCAGCGGTCTCGGTGACGGCTCCGGCTGCGCTCCGGTTACCCGGGCCACTGCCCAGCGTGCGCCACTCGGCTTGCGCCCTGCGCTCGGCTAGCGAATCGCAGGCTTTGCGCCGGGCGCGCGGAGAGGGAGGAGCGCGGAGAGCCCGGGGACTCTCGGGAGGCTGGAGCCTGAGCGCCTGGGCCGCCGAACTCCCGGGGGTCTTCTCTGTGGCGCCGCGGAGGCGGCTGTAACCCGGCTCCGCCTTCGCGCTGGGCACCTGGAAACCTCGGTGCCAAAAGGGGCTGCGCCGGACCGCGCGCTCCGCAGGCGCAGCGGGGCGGAGGGCGCAGGGAGGCGGGAAGAGTGACGAGCCGGCCGCAAGGCGCCCCCGCCCGTCTGGGGGACCCTCGGCGAAAGGGTGACGCAGTCTGAGAGCTCGAGCCTCCCTGGCAGGACCGTTAGAAAACGGATGTCTAACTCTGTCCTCTGCCTCTGTACTTTTCAGTTGGACTCCTCCCACTACTTTTTTTTTTTTTTTTTTTTTTTTTTTTTTATAAATGAGTAGAGGAAAATCTAACTTACCAACCTCACTCTAAGGTGTGAAAAGCACGGAGTAGCGAAATTCCATTTTCCTAAAGCGTAGCTTGAGAGTCACTGAGGAAAAGACATCTTGAGGAAAGCTTCCTTCACCACTCTTCCTGGTACACTCTGGTATTCCTCAACGAGCAGCAAGAGCTCTGGCGAGGTTGTCACCATTATCACCCACCTCCCAAATGAGGGCCCTTTGACCTCGAAACGCTCTGAGATTCGGACTCTGTCGGTCTGATCTGGGAATCTACGCTCTAAGTAAGTGTCCCAACGGATTCTGATACAGGCCAAGGCGGTCGGATCACGAGGTCAGGAGATGGAGACCATCCTGGCCAACTGATGGTGAAGCCACGTTTCCACTAAAATACAAAAATTAGCCTGTAGTCCCAGCTACTCGGGAGGCTGAGGTAGGGGAATCGCTTGAACCCGGGAGGCAGAGGTTGCAGTGAGCCGAGATTGCACCACTGCACTCCAGCCTGGACAATATAGCGAGAGTCCCTCTAAAAAAAAAAAAATATATATATATTTATTTATATATATATATATATATATTTTTTTCTTTTTTTCTTAGCTTCTTCCCTTTTAACAGTTAGCTGGTAATCTAAGGACTGAGGCTTCACATGCCTGGACTGGAGGGGACATTTTTAGTGCTGAGAACGGAGGGAAGGGATCAGAAGGTACCTACTAGAGCTACCAACTCACCACTCACTCAAGAGCTTTACCTAGTAACATTTTTAAAACAGTCAATTGAATATTACTACTTAATCCTACTGACATTTTAAAGATTCTGTTTATTCACAATTATCTTGGCCTGTTCTGAGGTGAGATAGCATGCTCTAAAGGTAATTGGTATGGTTGCTTTAGAAGACCTGCTGTTTCATCTAAACATATACCTGCCTTAGGACTCCAGAAATTCCTCTCCTAGGAGTATGTCCAAAAGAATGAAATCCTATATTCACAAAAAAAATCTGTGCACAACTGTTCGTAGCAGCTTTATTTGCAATGATCAAAAGCTGGAAGCAATTCAGATATCAACAGATGAACAGAAAAACAAACTGTCATATTCACACAATGGAATACTGTTCAACAATAACAGGAATGAACTACTGAATGATCTACTCAACACGTGAATGAATCTCAAGGATAGCATACAGAGTGAAAGAAGCCTTACACAAAACAATTCACACTGTGTGATTCCCTTTATATGAAGTTCAAGACAGGACAAAACTAATCTGTGGTGAAAACAGCGAGCACAGTGGTTGCCTTTGACGGAATGGGAATACAAGGGAACATCTGAAGCGATGAAAATGTTCTGTATCCTCTAATGACCAGTGATGATGAGTTTTCTTTTTTCATATATTTGTTGGCTGCATAAATGTCTGCTTTTGAGAAGTGTCTGTTCATATCCTTTGCCCACTTTTTTACAGGGTTTTTTTTTTTTTTTCTTGTAAACTTGTTTAAGTTATTTGTAGATTCTGGATATTAGCCCTTTGTCTGATGGGTAGATTGCAAAACGTTTTTCCCATTCTGTTAGTTGCCGGTTCACTCTAACGATAGTTTCTTTTGCTGTGAAGAAGCTCTTTAGTTTAAGTAGATCCCATTTGTCTATTTTGGTTTTTGTTGCCATTGCTTTTGGTGTTTTAGTCATGAAGTTCTTGCCCATGCCTGTGTCCTGAATAGTATTGCCTATGTTTTCTTCTAGGGTTTTTATGGTGTTAGGTCTTACATTTAAATCTTTAATCCATCTGGAGTTAATTTTTGTATAAGATGTAAGGAAGGGATCCAGTTTCAGCTTTCTGCATATGGCTAGCCAGTTTTCCTAACATCATTTATTAAGTAAGGAATCCTTTCCCCATTGCTTTTTTTTTTTTAATTTTATTTCAGATTTGTCAAAGATCAGATGGTGTAGATGTGTGGCGTTATTTCTGAGGCCTCTGTTCTGTTCCATTGGTCTATAGCTCTGTTTTGGTACCAGTACTATGCAATTTTGATTACTGTAGCCTTGTAGTATAGTTTGAAGTCAGGTAGCGTGATGGCTCCTGCTTTGTTTTTCTTGCTTAGGATTGTCTTGGCTATGCGGGCTCTTTTTTGGTTCCCTGTGAAGTTTAAGGTGGTTTTTTTTTTCAATTCTGTGGAAAAACCACATTGAGATACCATCTCATGCCAGTTAGAATGGTGATCATTAAAAAATCAGGAGACAACAGATGCTGGAGAGGATGTGGAGAAACAGAAACAGTTTTACATTGTTTGTGGGAGTGTAAATTAGTTCAAGTGTTGTGGAAGACAGTGTGGCGATTCCTCAAGGATCTAGAAATAGAAATACCATTTGACCCAGTGATCCCATTACTGGGTATGTACCCAAGGGATTGTAAATCATTCTGTTATAAAGACACATGCACACATATGTTTATTGTGGCACTCTTCACCTTGGAACCAACCCAAATGCCCATCAAGGATAGACTGGATAAAGAAAATGTGGCACATATACACCATAGAATACTATGGAGCCATAAAAAAGGATGAGTCCATGTCCTTTGCAGGGACACGCATAAACTAGAAACCATCATTTTCAGCAAACTGACACAAGAACAGAAAACTAAACACTGAATGTTCTCACTCATAAGTGGGTGCTGAACAGTGAGAACACATGGACATAGGGAGGGGAACATCACACACTGGGACCTGTCAGGGTGTAGGGGACTAGGGGAGGGATAGCAGGTGATGTGGAGCTAGGGGAAGGATAGCATTAAGAGAAATACCTAATGTAGATGATGTAGTGATGGATTCAGAAAACCACCATGGCATGTGTATACCTATGTAACAAACCTACACGTCTGCACATGTACCCCAGAACTTAAAGTATAATTAAAATAAGTAAGTAAGTAAATAAGAAAAGTCAGAAAAAAGCTAAAAAAAAGTTCTATATTCTGATGGGGATGGTTACGTTTGTCAAACATTCCTAAACTGTACACTTGAAATCTTTGCCTTTAATTGAATATTTATACTTCAGCGACAAATACTTTAAAAATCAGAAACTTTGTCCTTGCCCTAAAGAGTAAAAAAGGTTTAATAGAAGAGAGTTTGATGAAAGGATCACATATGGTGATGTGGACAGGTCTGAGAGAACCAATAAGGATGGTGAAACTCCTCGGTCTAGCAACAGCTGGAAGCTGCAGCCACTCTGAGCCCTGAAGGTGTGAGGGAAGGTTGAGGTGTTACCAAACCAGCAAGAACTGTGGCCATGAAAGAGGCCGCCTGAAAGGAGGATCGCTACAGGTAGAAGAAACAAGACACTGCCACTGGTCTGGTAGGGAGTGAGTGACCCCTCTCTCCTTCTATCCTATTCCTCTTGATGCCTCCTATTGGCAGAACCATTTAAAAGCTAAACGACAGAGAGGCACAGGTGCAGTGGTCCTTAGAAGTCATCCCGTTAGGGTGCAGAGTTGGACAAAGAAGGATGAAGAGTGGATCTGGAATGGCCACTGGGAAACAACCAGAACAGATCATCTGCTTTTTTCTTTCATTTGAAGAAAAATAACAAGAAATAAAACAGGAGAAACACAAAAGCCTGTCAGTCCTATCTTGTATGACCTGGGAATAATGTCAACTCGATCAAATTTCTATTTGGAGCTAAACTGTGAAATTAACCATCAGTGGTTACATTCACATAAATATTGTCTCACATAAACAGAAAAGGGGAGAAATCACCAACTATCACAAAATATAGATTCTACTGTCCCCACTTCTGTAACTGGTCATGAGGCCTTATTTGACCATCATTGCAATGTTCCCCTCTACTCTCTGAGCATTTTGGCTTGCATGAGTTTGTTTTTTTTGTGACCAATGAGAGGGGCCTAAAGTTGCATTCTCGCCAAGGACTTATCTTTGTTAGTTTGCCACTGACCATAATTATTGGATAAGGGAGTCCTCTGAGGTCCAGACAGAGTCATCCCATTATGAAGCAGGAATCCAATTTCCTCTTGGTAATCAGGATCAATCACCCAGTCAGCAAACTAGCCTTCCTTTCTGTCTGTTGGTTCTTCAACGTAAGGACTGCAAAATTACCAGAGCGCCGTCTCAGCTCCCAATCTACAAGGGCCATTCCTGTTGTTTACTGGTGGAAGCATTTCTGTCATGGGCACCCAAACCTCCCAACTCACCAATCTTTTTTTTTTTTCTCTTTTCACCCATTACTAAAAGTTTTATCTCAACTCACCGATCTAAAGAATGTGGGGATATTGTGCAAAACTTTGATAGGTGGGTTATTATATGTAATAGAGAGGTCCCACTTCAACCTTGGTCCTTAAACCAGTCTATTATGTCTATAAGAGAAATGACACCACATATTGGCTACTGGTTTAGGGCATATATTGTAAGCGGAGTGAGTGCCCCAAGCTCCCGGGGTGCTGTCTTCTAGCTGGTATCCTAACTCTGACTTACCTTTCTATCAAACCACCTGCTTCTAGGTAAATAGCATGAGATGAGTCTATTGCCCCACTGGTTTCTACAAAATCAATTTCTGGATTAGAGATGACATAATGTGTGCTGCTCTGGCCATAGGTGAGAGGACACTCTATACATCTACGTATAGTGGTGCCAGTAGAGGCAAGGCAGGCAAGGAAGGCAAAATCAGATCTAGGATAAGAATTTATTTCAACAGATAAAGAAGAAAAAAAGAATTTATTCCAATAAGGACAAATAACTGCAGTCTCTATGAAAAAAAAAAAAGAGAGATCCAATTTAAATAACCTTTCTCTACATAGCCAACAGGAGAGGCTGGCTAGGGAATAATGCCATGTGAAGACTCATGGTGGCCTCCGATGTTGGCACATTGGACGCTCAGCGGTGCTGGTAATCAGTGGGGATCTAAAGAGAAGTCTGAGTAATTGTACTCCTGCATAGCCTCCATCTCTGCCATCGTGGTTTCTATATACATGAGTCCATCAAACAAGCACTGATATGGCTGGAGAAA